ATATATATATATATATATATATATATATATATATATATATATATATATATATATATATATATATATATATATATATATAATGTCGTGCCGAATAGGTAAGACTTGCGAGTTTGGCTTAAATAGCAACGTTCTTCTTGCCGAATAAGGAAAGCGAAAAATTGTGTATTTAATAATTTCACAAAAATCATTCTGAACCTAACGAAAAAATTATATGGCATTGTGTTTGTTTATTATTAAATTATTGTAAACTTATCTGAAATATATTTGGCTGGATTAGGCTAATATATATACAATAGTCCTAGTTGCGCAGTATTTGTATTTTCATGCTATGATCGCCATGGTTCTCATAGTTGCCTTGGTTGTCGTACAGTAGCGTCGTACTTATTACAAATGTGTTGAAAGTCATTGTATGTTATCATATTAAGGAGGTTAAATTATCGTACCGTGTCTCACGGTACAGTGTTACAAAGTCATCGTACCTTGTCTTATTGTACAGTATTGCTAGTTATCGTTTCTCGTCTCGTACAGTACAGCTACAGTTATTGTTTCTCGTCTCCTACAGTACAGCTACCGTTATCGTACACTGTCTTACTGTAAAGTGGTGTTACAGTCATCGTACCTCGTCTTGTACAATAGATCTACAGTTATCGTACCTCGTCTTGTACAATAGATCTACAGTTATCGTACCTCGTCCTGTACAGTAGTTCTACAGTTATCGTACCTCGTCCTGTACAGTAGTTCTACAGTTATCGTACCTCGTCTTGTACAGTAGTTCTACAGTCATCATACCTCGTCTTGTGCAAGAATTCTACAGTTATCGTACCTTGTCTTATAGTCAGTCATGCCACACTTACCGTCTTTTTGTCTGATATTGTCGTTCCAAGGTTGCACTGTAGTTGTCATTGTTACAGTTGTCTTGTCCGGTTCATCATGTCAGTTGTTAGTTATGTGAGGGTTGTAGCACATGTGCACAAAATGTTACCTGGGCAGGACGACCCACCTGGGCAGGACGACCCACCTGGGCAGGGGCGACCCACCAAGGCAGGGCGACCCACCAGGGAGATTACAAAACAAAATATAAAATAAAAACACGCATACACTAATTACATGTCTATATTTTTTTCTGGACTTGGGGTAAGAAAGAGTTAGTAAGTGTGGGTGTTTTATTGGGTTAAACATGACAGTGGGCAGAGGTGTAGATTATGTCCCAATCTCACTCAGCAGTCCTTCAATATTCGTTGTGCTTCTGCCTCCTGAGGCACCTTTGCTGCAAGAAGCAATATTTAGTACCTGTGCCTCGGGTGCACCTCTTACCTGGGGAACCTGCCACCAGGACTCGTGAAGAGGATGTTGACCTGTGTTGTTACAAAATCCTCAAAACTAGATAATCTTGACACAAGGAGCTGAATCCAGGTTATACGAGGACATCTGAGCATGGGGACATGTCGTTAGGATGTGTGAGCATGGGGGGACCCTGTCATGAGGCTGTGTGAGAATGGGGGCCCTGTCATAAGGCTGTGTGAGAAGGGGACCCTATCATGAGGCTGTGTGAGAATGGGGGCCCTATCATGAGGCTGTGTGAGAATGGGGGCCCTATCATGAGGCTGTATGAGAATGGGGGCCCTGTCATGAGGTTGTGTGAGAAGGGGGGCCCTGTCATGAGGACCTGCAAGATAAGGAACGTGTAGGGCAGGACCTGAGAACAGAAACTATCAGGAGGACCTGTGAGCAGGACCTGTGTACAGACACCTGTGTCAACAGTTAGTTTGTGCTGTAACTCTACTGTGTTTAACTCTGGGGTAAATATTGTTGTTTCTATGTAACTGTTGTGTGTGTGTGTGTGTGTGTGTGTGTGTGTGGCCGAGACTAACCTTATCCTACGTTATAAGACTGATAACAGTATTTGTTTTTTTGTTTTTGTTGCGATAAACACGTTGTATCTTGTATTATAACGTAGTATGCGATAATACAAGTCCTGTTCATGTGTATATCGGGTGGGACGTTCGTATTTTTTTTTAATAATCTACATCTATATTCAGAAGAGCCTCCCAAGAGACCTTTTTTTCGACAAAGTTTGTCTTAGTATACATACATATATATATATTTTTTTTGGGGAGTAATTTTTAAATTCCTGTTATAGCCCGCCAGCGGGAACAAATATAGAATATATAAACTTAACAAATAAATAAATAGAAGAGGCAAAGGACGGAATGGGTGGAGGGAGACTGCCCGAATCTGTGGTCGTAAGTCTTCCTGTGTCGGGACGACACGGGAAGACGACCTTGTCTGTAGTGGTGGTGGTGGCTCCCTGCCTCAAGGTCATGTGTCAGGTATTGAGGTCTACAGCAGAGAGCAGCACCCCCTCGTCCCTCCTCATCAACACTGGGGGATGGAGGGGAAAACCGCAACATTTATTCCTCCGGACACCATCTCCATCAGTCCCCAGCATCACTAAACTATCTCTGGATTCAGAGTTTTTCATTTTCATGACGCTAAGACTAATCGTCAAACTGGCACTGACTTAAAACATCTCAATTAGCTGTGGGTTTATGGGGATGGTCTCCAGGGCTCTCCGGGATTTACAACTGCAGGTATGAGGGCAATTTGTCTTTTTTTTCAGTTCCACAGTCGCTTAGAAGTCACTTGTTATTGTATTATAGCTGTAGAACGTCCAGGGTCCTTTGGAATACAGTAAGTTCCCTTACTGTATCACAAATAGTGAATTTCTTGTAAATTAGATTGGAAAGGTACATCCAAAATTTAAGAGAACGTGACAAGGTCGTAATACGTACTTTTCAATTCTGAATCGACCTTTTCAATTGCAACTACAAAAAATCGCACTATATGCAATAGTTGCATAAGAGAGCTTAGTGTAATACGTAGCAACTCTAGATGTCAGTGTGACAGTGAGACGGTCAGCGCAGGTCCCAGCTCCCTATCTGTGATCCCATCCTGCCAGGTTTGATTCCTGATCCCTAAGAGTTGTACCAGCACCGCAGCATCCAGCTCCCGCCCTTCTGGCCAACCCACCTCCAGGTCCTGTCTGCAGCGTTGGTAATGATGCTAGGTGGCGTTAGTGATAATGTCTCTGCTGTTAAGTCCCTAAGGAGTCAGCGTTAGTAATAACGTCAGTGTTGTTCAGTCATGTAAGTCAGTGTTGTTGAGCCAAGTAAGTCAGTGTTCTTGGCTAAGTAAGTCAGTGTTGCTGGGCCAAGTAAGTCAGTGTTGTTCAGTCATGTAAGTCAGTGTTGTTGGGCTAAGTAAGTCAGTGTTGTTGGACTAAGTAAGTCAGTGTTGCTGGGCCAAGTAAGTCAGTGTTGTTCAGTCATATAAGTCAGTGTTGTTGGGCTAAGTAAGTCAGTGTTGTTGGGCTAAGTAAGTCAGTGTTGCTGGGCCAAGTAAGTCAGTGTTGCTGAGTCATGTAAGTCATAATTCAGTGTTGTCTGAGTTAAGTCAGTAAGTCACTGTTGCTGAGTAATATAAGTCAGCAAGTCAGTGTTGTAGTGTTGTTGAGTCATATAAGTCAGTGTTGTTGTGCCATGTAACTCAGTAAGACAGTGTTGATGAGTCATGTAAATCAGTAAGTCAGTGTTTTTGAGTCATGTAAGTCAGTAAATCAGTGTTGTTGAGTCATGTAATTACATCAGTAAGTCAGTGTTGTAGAGTCATGTAAGTCAGTAAGTCAGTGTTGTAGAGTCATGTAAGTCAGTCAGTCAGTGTTGTAGAGTCATGTAAGTCAGTCAGTCAGTGTTGTAGAGTCATGTAAGTCAGTCAGTCAGTGTTGTTGAGTCATGTAATTACGTCAGTAAGTCAGTGTTGTAGAGTTACATGTGTAAGTCATGTAAGTCAGTTAGTAGGGGGTCATGTAATAAGTCAGTAAGTCAGTGTTGTAGAGTCATGTAAGTCAGTAAGTCAGTGTTGAAGTCATGTAAGTCAGTAGTCAGTGTTGTAGAGTCATGCAAGTCAGTAAGTCAGTGTTATTGAGTTATGTAAGTCATTAGGTTAGTGTTTTTGAGTCATGTAAGTCAGTGTTGTTGAGTCATGTAAGTCAGTGTTGTTGAGTCATGTAAGTCAGTGTTGTTGAGTCATGTAAGTCAGTGTTGTTGAGTTATTAAGTCATTGTTGAGTCATGTAATTCAGTAAGTCAGCGTTGTTGAGTCATATAAGTCAGTTAAGTCAGTGTTGTTGAGTCATTAAGTCAGTGTCGTTGAGTCATGTAAATCAGTGGTGTTGAGTCATGTAGTCAGTAAGTCAGCGTTGTTGAGTCATATAAGTCAGTTAAGTCAGTGTTGTTGAGTCATTAAGTCAGTGTCGTTGAGTCATGTAAATCAGTGGTGTTGAGTCATGTAAGTCAGTAAGTTATTGTTGTTGAGTCAATAAGTCAGTCCGTGTATATGAGACATCTTTTGAGTCAGTGTTAAGGGTAATGTATATATTAGTTATTAGCCAAATGTCAAACATAAGCCTAGTGTCATATGCAAGCCTAGTGTCAAGCATAGGCCTTGTCATGTATAGGCTTGTTGTCAAACATAACTCTTATATCACGTGTAGGACTAGTGTCAGGCATAAGGGCAAGCGTTACGGGTAGGCCTAGTGTCAATCACAGGACCGTGTAAGGTGTAGGCCTATTAAGTATAGGACAAGTGTCATCTGTAGGCCTAGTGTCAAGCATAGGGCTGGTGTCAAGTGCAGGCCTATTGTCAAAGAGCTTGTGACAGACGTAGACCTAGTGTCAAAGAAAGGGCTGGTATCAGGGGTAGGCCTAGTGTCGGGGGGGAGGCTTTGTGTCAAACACAAGGCCTAGTGGCCTAGTGTCAAAGAGCTAGTGTCAGGTTTAGGCCTCGTGTCAGGGGTGATAGGCTGGCCTGACACCTGAGTGTGAAGAATTAGACACATGTGCAACATCTGGGCGTCTTTACTTGTAGACGTTTCGCCCTCCAGGGCTGAGGAAGGTTAGGCATCACTAATTAATTATTATTATTATTATTATTATTATTATTATTATTATTATTAAAGGGGAAGCATTAAAGGACATAATGAGAAGACTGTTGAACTCTATACAAAAGACGAGGTAATCTGTCCCTCAGCTGAGGGACAGATTACCTCACATTTTGTATACAGTTCTACAGCTTCCCACTATGTCCTTGAATTTGTATTGATGAAGCCACTGGATGGTGAAACGTTTACAATAAAGATAGCCAGATGTAGCACATATGTCTAATTATTCAACTTGTAGGTATTGTAGACCTGAGTGTATTAATCATGCAGCTGGACCTACGATAATTTACCAATAAATAATCTAAACTAAGACGATAACTCTCCTATTTCCTATCTTTCTAAACGGGGAAAACAAAATAAAAAATAAAATAAATAAATATATATAAATAAATATATAGTTAACATTTATGTCATATAAGTTACATTCTCTAGAAATAAGGAGTCCGCCGGTAGTCATAATGCTGTCGTAACTGTGAGAGCTAGTAGTTAGTCGTTGGTCTTCAGTGTCGGTGTGTTGGGGGACACTGCACGTCTAGCAACAGTCTATGCCTCTGTCACATGGAACTTTAAGCTCCACTCTATATAGAATTAACACACTGCAGCTTGGCAATCACTGCTGTAAAATCAAATAAAAAGGGTACTACTAGCGTTGGTCAGTCATAAAGCCATATACTGATGTTTTTTTGAGAAAGTGGGCAGACAATGAAGCCAAGCACTGATCTTGTGAGGAAAGTGACGGCAGAAGCTGCTGTTGTGGCGTCGATTTTGGTCTGTGTCCGAAGCCCGAATCTCCGGTAGTCACGGTCGTCTTGAACTAGCGGAAGAAGAGGTTAGTTTAGAAGTTGCACTCGTTAAAGATCTCCTGACAGTTCTCTCCGACGCGTCCCCTCCTGCCGGCGTCGTTGTAGATCTCGAAGGGAGTGTAGGTAGAGCGCTCTAGGATGTAGCTCATGCCGTACCTGCAGAGGAACCAGATAGTGAGAGGCTAAGTTAGATTTCCCCGAAGGAGAACAATGTCAAGTAGAATACTTAGTAGGTTACGAAGAACAATTATCTTAAAGAATACACATTTAAAAAATTAGGTCAGTCACGAAGAGAGCCAAGTGCTGTACTACAAATTCTAAATCACTCTGGAGTGACTTTAAGTCAAGGACAACCATTTCAGTATAGACACAGTTTCTAAGATACTCCCACGTAGCTGGTCATCATATCATCAAGTCCAGCTTCAGAAGATTTCCCCCGACGAATAAATTACAGCAATACGCGAATAAAATTACGTTGCCTAAACATATATTTAAGAACATTTACTCCGAGACATTGTGACTGGTGCTCTTTGAGTGGTTTGTCTCCACGAGCGGAGACCAGGAGAGCTTACGTTCCCATCTGGCAGAAGAGGTAACCAGTGTCGCCGGTGCCGTAGACACAGTCAGAGTTGGCCTCGCACAGGAACTTCTGCATGCAGACATCGTCCTCAGTCTCGTAGGTCTTGATGTAGCTCTGGTGAAACACGTGATGCATTAATATAGAGTTGTGGAGTGAAGCAAGCTGCTTTGTAGGAGCAATGAAGCAGATGTTTAGGGGTAACTTGAAGGGTGGGCTGAACATACCTATAAGTGGGAAAAGTTAGGCGTGAGCTGGACTAGTATGGACCAATAGGTTTACTGCAATGATAGCTCACGTTGCATCAACATCATGAGCTTGTAATGTTGTAATGACACGATTGCAAACAAACCATACCACGGGCGGGGATAGAACCCGCGATCAGAGTCTCAAAACTCCAGACCGTCGCTGATCGCGGGTTCTATCCCCGCCCGTGGTATGGCTTGTAATGTTGCAGAAAAGAGGATCAAGTCCCAGTGAACACGTTCAGAGTGAGAGTTTTTGCCGCATATAGCCAGTAGATCTACTATAGCTCTTCTCTTTTATTATTATATTCATATATTATATTCATATGTTTTTATTCCTTCTAGATGCAAACCCGAAGTGTGAGAAGCTAGTAGAGGTCCTACCTTCAGCATGGTGGTGGCGGCGACGGCGGCGTCAGCAAGGGGATCCGAGGAACCAAGACTGCGAGCTTCGAAGGACCTCTGGGAGAAACTGGTGCGGAGGGCGTCCAGAAGTGTGACCACCAGGCCGAAGAGCTGCAACCGGAGGGCAGGGTAACATCTATTTTTTATTGTATGTTAAGAGAAGCACTTGATTCATGTGGATCAGTCAGTGAAAAGAGTAGTGGAGGCTTGATCCTCTGTCCTCTAAACCTCTGTGTGGGTCATCGTGTACAGGGAGTGTGGAGGTTGGATGTCAAGACGTGTCATACCCAGATCATAAAACACGTGGAAATGGGAATTATACGTGATGTTCCATACCTTGCACAAGCCCTCTAGGTGTCATTGTACAAAAAAAAAATACATTTGGACATGGCATAAAATAATCAGCAGGAAGAGAATAACACAGAAAATAATTAGCATTGTATATAAATCGGCAAATCACTTGGGCCCTGACACAAGTACAGAAACAAACTTTTATTGTTACAATATTTTGCTCTCTGTAGAGCCTAATCAGGTCACGACTTGGTGAAGCTCTACACGGAGCGAGACGTTGTCCCAGTGAAATCTCGTTATAGTGTAGACAGTACGTCACTTAGATGCAGAATACGAGTAAAACACAGGTGGCTTCCCATCATCACTCACCTCTGAGGCTTGCTTGGCCATCACTCCTACTTCTTGAGGGTCGTTGGAGCCGGTCAGGTAGGAGATCACTGCGGTAAGGATGCTCTGTGAGAAGAAGCCGGTGTATGAATAGTCAGTATTTCATCTAACATGAACAGCTAAACGCCGTCCAGTATTTGCCAGACGTGCACGTTGCATGCAGAGGTGATACAAGAATGTCACTTTGTAAAACCGTGCTGAGATTCATTGATCAAATATCTTTCAAGATGGCTTCGAATTTCCTCTATACTGGTGCCATCAACTTTCCCACATGTAAAGTAAAAGGACACAAGTGCAACTAATGTGACATTTTATTGTGACAACGTTCTCTCCAGGCTTACAGTTAAGCTCCGAAGCGAACGTTGCCACAATAAAATGTCACATTAGTTGCACTTGTGTCCTTTTACTTTACAATATATTGTCGGTAATTCTACCAACTTTATTACAACTTTCCCACAATTGAAGCTAGGTTAATTAGCCTATAATTTGAAGCTATGGACCTATCTCCAGCATTGTAAATAGGTATCACTCACCAAATTATGGTATAAAGATCCCCATAGCAAACCTATATCTTTTATCGGGACTACGTTTCGCTCAACAGGTCTTGCAAATAAACTGGTATATGAATACTGACAAATTCGAATAAACCAGGACACTTTAACACGACGAGCGAGGCGGGGTCATCGCTTTAAAAAAATCCATATAGCATTAGTCTCAATTGATCCCAACAGGTACTGTGATCTATTGGATAACGGATGACTAGCGAAAGAAATAAAACGAATGTAAACAACTTACGGAACAAGGAGGATTGGATCCCATGGTAAACCTGTTCTTTAAAATTACACCCCAGGGCTCCAACCATGGGCGGACATGGGTTCCAATTGTACCCCGTTCCATGAGATGGCATTGCATAATATTTACCTCAACCGGAGATGCACCGTCCATCTTGTCTATGGCAGAGTTATCTCCTCCCAGCAGACTCAGCAGCATCTGCACTCCCAGGGAGAACACTCTTGACCAGGAGAACTCTCCACTCTGAAGGGATATTAATAATAATAATAACGACAATAATGTTGAAAATGGTATAAAATACCGACAAATTGATGATTAAGACACCTGCAACCCTTAGTATATTTATTGTTGAAGCGTTTTAACAATAAAAATACCTATCTCTTGCACGTGTGTCTTAATCATCAACAACAACAACAATAATAATAATAATAATAATAATAATAATAGAAATAATAATAGAAATAATAATAATAATAATAATAATAATAATAATAATAATAACGTTTTAATATGCCCCCCTCTACAATATCCTATCCCTTATTCACTCTTAACCCACAAATTGGCAATGAAAATTGGATCACGTTTCGACCAATCTGGGTCGAAACGAATAATAGTGGGGCCGAAACGCTGTCCAGTTCTCGTTAGCAAGTTGTTGGTTTGTCATGATGTTTCGCAGCCATCCTGTTCTCTCATAGAAAACTGTAGTTTATAAACGATTTAAGGAGCGTTGAAAAAGTAACGTACGCCAACTTACACCATTTGCTTTCTGACGTTCACTCTCGTTGACGAGTTCCTTATAGATTATGTTACTTTAAGTTAGGTTAGATTATGTTACTTTAAGTTAGGTTAGATTATGTTACTTTAAGTTAGGTTAGATTATGTTACAGTGTTAGGTTAGATTATGTTACTTTAAGTTAGGTTACATTTGATTGCTTTATATTAAGTTACTTTAGGTTAGGTTACTCTATAATGGGTTACTTTAGCTTACGTTACATTGTATTAGGTTACTTTAGGTTAGGTTAGGTTAGGTTACGTTAGGTTAAATCAGGTTAGGTTAGGTTACAATAATTTAAGTTAGGTTAGACTAGATTGCTTTAAGTTAGGTTAGACTAAATTTAGGTTACGTTACGTTAGATTACGTTGGATTAGGTTAATTTAGACGAGGATTCCCTAATTTAACCAAAATTTACCGATTCTAACAACGCAAACACATTGATAAAAATACCAAGACGAGTATTGTGTTTTAGCTGCCGTGTCGACACAGCCTTACGGTGAGAACGTAGGAAAAATCAACGCTGGTTTAATTAGGCAAACGGGTCTTTTTTCAGCGGTTTATGCGTTTATAAACCAGGGTTTTTAATGAGGCTGGATTGTCAAAGATCACCACAATTTACACACCCTTAAGGAAAGCTTTTTAAGCTATGCAAATTTTTTTTAATAGGTTTAGACACATTGGGCTATTTTTATATTATATAAATTTGATTAAGGTTGGGTTTTAGGTTAATAGGTTAGTTCTGAAGTCTAACTAAAATCTGCCATATCAAAAATTTGCATAACTTTTGTCGAAGAATTTATTTCACATTCCCAAAGGGAAGGAAACTTTAAATTAATTATGCAAATTCTTAAGATAGGTTAAGAAAATGTAATTATTTTAATATGTGTAGGGTAGATGTGGTTTGAAACCAACCCGGCGGTTTGAAAACCCCCGTCAAAAAGAGTCTCAAACTCCAGACCGCGGGGTTTAATCCCGGCCGGGGTATGGTTTGTTTGCAATCGTGTCATTACGATTTCGTGAGTCGAGTAGATGTGGTATTGTGATACCGTCAAGTTGCAGGTCAAAAGGCATGGATGCCATGATCAAGACATTTATTAAGGCAACGTTTCGCCCAATAAGTGTTGTCTTCAGTGTTTTTTTAACCTATTAAGAACATAAGAACATAAGAACATAAGAAAAGGAGGAACACTGCAGGAGGCCTGCTGGCCCATACTAGGCAGGTCCTTTACAATTCATCCCACTAACAAAACATTTGCCCAACCCAATTTTCAATGCCACCCAAGAAATAAGCTCTGATGTGAAAGTCCCACTCAAATCCAACCCCTCCCACTCATGTACTTATCCAACCTAGATTTGAAACTACCCAAAGTCCCAGCCTCAATAACCCAACTAGGTAGACTGTTCCACTCATCAACTACCCTATTTCCAAACCAATACTTTCCTAAGTCCTTTCTAAAACTAAACATTACCTAATTTAAATCCATTACTGCCGTTCTCTCTTGGAGAGACATCCTCAGACCTTATTAATATCCCCTTTATTTATACCTATCTTCCACTTATACACTTTGATCAGGGCCTCCCTCATTCTTCGTCTAACAAGTGAATGTAACTTAAGAGTCTTCAATCTTTTTTCATAAGGAAATTTCTGATGCTATGTAAAAATTTATCATCCTACGCTGAATGTTTCTAACGAATTTATGTCCATTTTGTAATACGGAGACCAGAACTGAGCTGCATAATCTAGGTGAGGCCTTACTAATATGTATAAAGCTGCAGTATGACCTCTGGACTTCTGTTGCTTACAAATTCTTGAATAAAAACCCAGTAACTTTTTGCCTTATTACGTACGCTTAGGCATTGCTGTCTTGGTTAAGGGGCTGCTCACCATAAAACCCCCAGTCCTTCGCAATCTGTATGGCTAAGTTCTACATCATTTAATTTATAAGTACTAGTGTTATGGGCACTCCAAGCCTCAAACCTTGCATTTATCTACATTGAACTGCATCTGCCATTTTTCTGCCCAAAAATAGATTTGTTTAAATCCCCCCTAAGTTCCCTAACATCTCGTTTGAACAATTACCCCTACCATTTTTGGTCACGGGGGAATTTGCTCATTCCTATAAATTTCCCCCACAAAATCATTTTAATATTATAAACAACAACGGGCCCAAATGATCCCCTTGGAACGCCACTTGTTACAGACCCCCCCTCGGATTTAAACCCCCTTTATGGGGCACTCTCTGCTTCCTGTCATGAGCCCTGATCACCCCGAGAGAAATTTTCCCCCCCAAAGCCCTGAGCGCCACTTTTTTAACATCATTTCGGAACTCTTCAAAAGCCTTACTAAATCTAAGTAAAATATCAAAATTCTTTATTGTGGTCAACAGCCCAAAGTTTACTGAAAAAGTTAAAAAATTAGTTAGACAAGACCGGCCTCTTGGAATCCATGCTGAGATATTAATCAGCTATGCTTATAGATGGTTCTTTTAACTAGCTATAATTGACCTATAATTTGCCTACAATTTGGGGGAGGCTATTGGGGGGTAATTTGCGGTAACGACTTGTCCCCTGTTTTAAAAATGGGTTACTTTGCCATCTTTCCCTATCAACCCCTACACCCGTTTGAAGAGATAAATTAAAAAAAAAATTTGTTAATGGTTTACAAGTTCCATTTTTGCATTCCTTTAAAAACCCCTTTAAAAAAAAACCCATCAGGGCCTGGCACTTATTTTGCTTCAGTCTGTCATCTCCTCACACCATTCACTAGTGACTGTGAGTTACATAAATTTTTTTTCTTCTACCCCCTGTAAAAATTAATTACTGGAATATTGTTTGTGTTTCCTGTTAAAAACGAGAGAAAAAAAATTATTTTAAAAACAAGCACATTTTATTCTTTTGTCATAAGGTTTCCCCTAGTTTTTTTTAAGGGGGCCTATCTTATCTCAAAATTTTTTTTAAACCCGGAAAAAAAATTTTAAAATTTAGGACATCTGTTAGAGGAAAGTTCGCCCCCTAATGGTTCTTTATCCTAGGGGAAACGTTTTTTGTAACAAAGCCGAACATAAAATTTGTGCCTTTTTTTTGACTAAATTTGGGTTACGTTACGTTAGATTACGTTGAATTAGGTTAATTTAGACGAGGATTCCCTAATTTAACCAAAATTTACCGATTCTAACAACGCAAACACATTGATAAAAATACCAAGACGAGTATTGTGTTTTAGCTGCCGTGTCGACACAGCCTTACGGTGAGAACGTAGGAAAAATCAACGCTGGTTTAATTAGGCAAACGGGTCTTTTTTCAGCGGTTTATGCGTTTATAAACCAGGGTTTTTAATGAGGCTGGATTGTCAAAGATCACCACAATTTACACACCCATAAGGAAAGCTTTTAAGGCTATGCAAATTTTTTTTAATAGGTTTAGACACATTAGGCTATTTTTTATATTATATAAATTTGATTAAGGTTAGGTTAGGTTAATAGGTTAGTTCTGAAGTCTAACTAAAATCTGCCATATCAAAAATTTGCATAACTTTTGTCGAAGAATGTTATTTCACATTCCCAAGGAAGGAAACTTTAAATATAATTATGCAAATTCTTAAGATAGGTTAAGAAAATGTAATTATTTTAATATGTGTAGGGTAGATGTGGTATTGAAACCATACCCCGGCCGGGTTTGAACCCGCGGTCAGAGAGTCTCAAAACTCCAGACCGCGGGTTCAATCCCGGCCGGGGTATGGTTTGTTTGCAATCGTGTCATTACGATTTCGTGAGTCGAGTAGATGTGGTATTGTGATACCGTCAAGTTGCAGGTCAAAAGGCATGGATGCCATGATCAAGACATTTATTAAGGCAACGTTTCGCCCAATAAGTGTTGTCTTCAGTGTTTTTTTAACCTATTACATGTGGAAAAAGACACGTACAATTCAGGACATCTGTTAGAGGAAAAGTTTCGCCACTAATGGCTTCTTCAGTCCTAGTGGCGAAACGTTTCCTGTAACAAATGTCCTGAACAGTACATTAGTGCCTTTTTTCCGCATATTGTCAGTATCACCACACCATTTTCCACCACATAATTACGTAAATTTTACCAGGCGTAGGTAAGGTTGATGCGTTTGTTTACGTACAAAAGAGAGAGAGAAATCGACACGTCAAGAATTTGCATAGTTAAATTTCACTGTTATTCTCGAGGTGGGACGATTATTTTAAGTGATCCTTCAGCTGCTTTTCCTTTTGGGTGTGATGCGAGTGTTTGAGGTGACTGGACACAGCCTCACCGTGAGCTGTGTGATGTAGTCCATCTTGTCTGAGGCTGCATGGGGTCCTGCATGAGGTCCTCCGATGAAAAGCTGCATGATCAACCCCACTAGGTTACCCCATTTGAACCCTCCGTCGCTAGGCTGCTGTTGCTGCTGCTGCTGTTGCTGCTTCACCTGCAATACCCATTCACTTCAGCCTCGCCCTCACACCACCCATACATGAAGTCCAATACCCATTCACTTCAGCCTCGCCCTCACACCACCCATACATGAAGTCCAATACCCATTCACTTCAGCCTCGCCCTCACACCACCCATACATGAGGTGGTAGTCCAATACCCATTCACTTCAGCCTCGCCCTCACACCACCCATACATGAGGTGGTAGTCCAATACCCATTCACTTCAGCCTCGCCTTCACACCACCCATACATGGGAATAGGTTGGAGAGGTATGTACGTGGGAGAGGTTAGACCAGTAGGCCTGCTGAAGTGCTCCTCCATTCATGTATTTTTATGTTCTTGTGTTGGAAGTCCCGCTGTTATATCTGTAATGTGATCTGTAATTTTGTTTACTGGGTGGACCGGAAAGCCGGTGGAAGGTCTCGCACATATAGCCATAAAAGTTCCAACAAGTTGGTCATCATACAAAGACTGGCATACCTGGAGGGAGTATAACTGGAGGGAATATACATGGAGGGAATATACCTGGAGGGAATATACTTGAAGGGAGCATACCTGGAGGGAATATACCTAGAGGGAGTATACCTGGAGGGTGTTCCGGGGGTCAACGCCCCCACGATCCCAGCAGCCATATATCCTGACATGTTGATAAATTAGACACATGTGCAACACTTGGGTAACTTTAATGAGGAAACGTTTCGCCACAGTGGCTTCATCAGTCCATACAAAGGAGAATCGTAAAGAACAGGAGGAGAATGAGGTAATCAGTCCCTCAGCCTTGAGTCGATGTTGTCAGTCGACTACTTAACTAGGTATGAATGGCTATGAAATAGGTAAAAGACAACTGTTTTTACTTAAAAAATAAAATACGACTTTATTAACTTTAGAAAACGTTGAGGACGACTTTATTAATTAAAAAAAATAAAAAAGACGATTTTTATTAAGATAAAAAAAATAGTGAAAAATGCAAAAAGGCGCATTTACATTGAGTCTTTATTGATTCACCTTAACCATGAATGACATGAACTTCGAGGAAATGGTACTTTTCCATCAACAATGCTTTATTTTTCGTGTCTAAATAATAATTATCGTCGTCTCTTCTTTTTTTTTATCACCGATCATGTCTTTATTGTTATTATATAAGTGGGATCTGATCCTACCCATGTCTATTATTACGTAAGTGGGATCTGATCCTACCCATGTCTATTATCATTACATAAATGGGATCTGATCCTACCCATGTCTATTATTATTACGTAAGTGGGATTTGATCCTACCCATGTCTATTATCATTACATAAATGGGATCTGATCCTACCCATGTCTATTATCATTACATAAGTGGGATCTGATCCTACCAATGTCTATCATCATTACATAAGTGGGATGTGATCCTCCTCATTCAGTCTCACTTATCACTGATGTCAGCTGACATCGTTCCTGGCTGCCTGACAACACTTACTAACTTGTAACTTAACAAGTGTTACATCAATTTCTATTCCCAATAGAACGGGCGTTTTCGCACGCATTATAGCGAGCCTATTTTTTTGCATGCTTAAACGGTGACAAAAGTTAACTCTTAGTGTTTTTATGTTAGTTTAGGTTAACGTAGCCTAACGTAGATGTTTTATTTATACATAGTTAACTACTAATGATGTAAATGAGTTAGAAACCGACAAGTTGAAGTATGAGACACTTTTGCAATGTTTGGGAGCTTTTATTGTGGAAACGTTTCGCCAACAAGTGGCTTTCTCAGTCCGGTACAGAGATGAATGGTGGAAGAGGAGGAGTTTGGGGTGATCAGTCCCTCAGCCCTGACTACTTTTCTCAAGATGGACTGAATACATCGACTCTAGGCTGAGGGACTGATCACCTCAAACTCCTTCTCATCTTCCACCATTCACTTTTATACTGGACTGAGGAATCCGCTTGTTGGCGAAACGTTTCCAAATGTTGCAAAAGTGTGTAATTCTTCAACCACTAATAACGACACTACATAAACAAGAGGTAAATATAAGACAGCAAGGGAGACATCGTAGTCATTTAAGTCGTCGGTAACCGCACGTTCTCTCTAATTAGAAGAACAGTTTAGCTGCTTAACAGCCCGTCCTCAAATTTTAACAAGCGTGTGGTTACCAACTATTCGTGTTATGGTGATGTCTTCCTTGCTGCCAGACGTAGTTGTAAATAGCACTACAGCTGTTCTTACCTGCTGAACCAGTGGGACACGGACTCCTACCTGCTTAACATTAGCCTGCTGTTGGAGCTGTTGCTGTTTCTTAATGTCGTTGGGTTTCGCAGCGAACTTGCGCGCCTCCTCCTGTGCCTCGACGGAGGCGCCGAAGGTAGTGGCGATGAGGGAGGTGACTAGCAGCACCAACAGGGAGGCACCGATCATCTGACGAGTCATCTGCAGGAACAACAAGAGGCTCTAGTGAATTTTCTAAATTACGAAATCGGGTACATCACATGGGATATGTCTGGAAGCCTCGCTAATCGCCGGCACCAACACCATTGAAAATAACATTGGAAGCTACGATTTTTTAAAAACATTAGCATACATAATACTCAACCAAAGCATCACATGACAACACAGGAGTCACGTGATCACATTGTCTATCAGTCCTCATCCCTCTATGGTATTTTTCAGGTCACTGTGTGTCACTCCTCACCCTCTGCCTATTTATATTGTCGTTTTAACCTCTGTATGTCAGAAGTGATCAAGGTTCCAGGACCGAAACGTTTTCTAATAAATATGTCCTAATGTTTGTTCATATTTCTTTCTAAACCAATTTGTCGGTATCTATTACCAAGGTATATACCACACATGGGATACATTCACCGAGAGGTGTTTCTCTCAGCATATATATACCGAGTTTACTTTAATCCTTATTTTAGGGATTAAAGTATTCCTGTCTGATGGTGAAACGTTACCTTGTAGCCTTAATGACCCAAGTGAAGTCGATAGATTTTAAACCCCATTAACCAACCAGCCATAGTGAAAATAAAAGTTAGCAATATTTCCTCTCATATTCTATGGTAGAATGGTTGTAATGGTATGGTATGGATGTAAATGTTAGGACGAGATGTGACGCACTGTAAGAGAGGGATGGATGGACTCTGGAGGGAGGCTGCCCTTTGGCAAACAACGCTAGGAAAATTTATTAATGATGGCACGATAGTAAAATAAATAACTATGAAGGTAGTGGATGTTCGCGGTGTATTGTTGATTGACTTGTTTACCAGATACGGAGATACTAACGGCTCCCTTCAAAGCAGGTGAGATTACTGAGTTAGAAAACGTTCAACAACTTTTCACTACTCGTGTACGTTCAATCAAACATCAGAACTATTAGTAACGCTTGAAGTCACTTGAACTGTACTTCGTGGAGCGTATACAAGACAGGTACATCATAAGTCACACCTTGAAAATCCCAAACCTGTACACCGAAATCACTCCTTATGAAAGCAAGACCTTTGGATGACGTTGCAAAATACCTCCAATATAAAGCAGGGATTCGACATGTATGATAAGAGAAAGAGAGAGGGAACTTGAAAGTGTCAGAGGTCCAAGAATTTTCAACGCCCCTCCTTCGTGCATAAGGTGAATTACGAACAAATCTCTGTCTTCAAGAGAGAAATTGACAAGTTCCTCAAATCATTTCCTGATCAGCCGGCTCTGGTTAACACGTTGGACTGCATGTAGCCAGCAGAAAGAGCCTAGATGATCAAGTCTTGATCCACCAAGGACCAAACCGCGGAAGCGTTGAACCCCTAAAAATACGAGAGCGAGGTCATAAAGCAGGTCAAAAAGAGTTGACCGCGACAAAAATTAACTTCTAAAGTACATCCCAAATTTTTCTCAGACCATCTCACTGTAGCAAAAACAAAGACTTACTCAGTATCACTGGTATTATATACTGAGAATCATAAACTCAGTCGTAATAAACGACTGCCAACGAACAACCCGAAGAATGGATCGGGACTCGAACCGTAGCCTTGACATGTTGTAGGTCCAGCGCTTTACCACTCAAGTACGAGTCTTGTGTTTATGTTTCCACCAAAGGCATCGTCTTGCGATCTTCCTATGTCTCTTCCCACACCTTCTGAGGCTGTGAGAATCGATAAAGATCCGGGTGGACGAAACATCTCAATAAAATGCCATAAACCACATATTAGGTCTTAGTAAGAAATGAACTATTAAGCTGGGATCGGATTTTAGATGATTAATGGGGTTTAAAGGTTATCGACTACACTGCGTCATTAAGGTTGCACGTAACCTTTGCATCACCAGACAAGAATATTTTTAAGAGCAAAAAGACACAATGCTGTGACTGGAACAATACACAAATAAGTTTCTTTCTCCTATATGCGGGTTATCTGTATAAGAATAAACTCTCAGCATATATACACTGAGAGAAATACACCTCTGTGTGTATAGCCATTTCTCTCAACACGCATGCTGTCAGCGCATCACTCACTTCCATATAGCAGCGTCATCGTCATATACTTTCTGTCATTAGCATCATTATGATGCTGTCAGCGGGTCCTTCCGTAGTGTATTGCCCCGCCTCGCCCCTCCCCGCCCGACAGTACCTTGCTCCGCCCGACAGTACCGTGCCCCGCCCCGTCCAGCCAAGACCCACTCCTGCGTGACCCATCACTCACCATCACCCACCATTACCCATCACGCACCATCACCCACCATCACCCACCATCACGCACCATCACCCACTATCACCACCACCACCCACCATCACCCACCATCACGCACCATCACCCACTATCACCACCATCACCCACCACCACCCACCACCACCCACCATCACCCACCATCACCCACCATGCCCTCACATTTTCTCGCCTCGACGAAACAATAGCACTTGGGTATTAGCTATTTCACGCACCATATGTCGCTCTCTCTCTCACTCTCTCTCCATCTCTCTCTCTTCTGTGTTGACGTTGGCGGACATGAGTCAGGCGTGTCATGAGTGTAACACGCATGTCATGTCCCGGGAACAACACCCAACTTTCACTTGCAACAGCATCGTCATTTCTTTCCGCGAAACATTGCGAAATAAAGCAGTAGAGAGAAAGAGAGAGAGAGAGAGAGAGCTCCAACTTCTTCCTGTTCACTACTTGTATGTCTCATAACAATAAAAATACTTTCAAATGAGCTGATGTAGGTAACAGCTCTTAGCTTGTCAATAAAGTTTGGAATCCTTAACTTGTAAATAGCTTGTCAATAAAGCTAGGGATCCTTAACCTAACCTTGTCAAACCCTGTGTAAAGAGAGAGAGACTACGCCGTATAGGAGATAAATCAGCAATCAAAAACATTAAAATTATTAAAATAGTTTATCCTCGAAAATCCTTCTAACGTCTTTAGTACAGAATATTACATAGTTTTCAATATGTGCAGTATTCATCAGTGGTGTTTATAACTATCTCCTTAATTTTTAAAAGATGTGGATTGGTGCGCCAGCAAAAGGCTTCATTTATATGACCGACAGCTCCAGTGGGCCTACCGGCCCATGCGAGGCAGGTCCAAGTCTCCCACCGGCTTAAGCTAATGACCCAACCTAGCCAGGTCAGGTCACATACACTTAAGGAGCGCGGCAGGAAACACTTGTCCTGTTTCCTACCTAACCTATCTAACAGGATATACTGCATACATCGTGAGATATATATCTCTAAGAGCATTTATACAGACACTTTATTTTAATCCCTGGATTTAAGGAGTAAAGTAATCCTGGCTGGCGGTGAGCAGGTTACATATAGATTAAATTATCCTGGTGTACTGAGAAGCTTTAAACCCAGTTAATCAAATTTTCACTATTATATTTTATGGGTATTTAACTCTGTTGTAACTCCTTCAAGCGTGATTTTTTTTATTAATTAATTGTAGCTGTATCAACAACTGTTTTCCTCTTAACCCGGTTGTATCTGTATCAACAGTCTTCTTTGAGGTGCGTTACAGTCTTCTTTGAGGTGCGTTACAGTCTTCTTTGAGGTACGTTACAGTCTTCTTTGAGGTACGTTACAGTCTTCTTTGAGGTACGTTACAGTCTTCTTTGAGGTACGTTACAGTCTTCTTTGAGGTACGTTACAGTCTTCTTTGAGGTACGTTACAGTCTTCTTTGAGGCACGTTACAGTCTTCTTTGAGGCACGTTACAGTCTTCTTTGAGGCACGTTACAGTCTTCTTTGAAGTACGTTACAGTCTTCTTTGAGGCACGTTACAGTCTTCTTTGAGGCACGTTACAGTCTTCTTTGAGGCACGTTACAGTCTTCTTTGAGGCACGTTACAGTCTTCTTCGAGGCACGTTACAGTCTTCTTTGAGGCACGTTACAGTCTTCTTTGAGGCACGTTACAGTCTTCTTTGAGGCACGTTACAGTCTTCTTCTCAGGCATCCTCTTCCGTGAGTCAAGGTATCAGTCCTCAGCTCTCTTGTGTTAGGAAGAGCGACGTAACAGCATCACTGTTGTGATACCTGCAGTACTGACCGTTGTCACTGCTGTGATACCTGCAGTCCTGACCGTTGTCACTGCTGTGATACCTGCAGTACTGACCGCTGTCACTGCTGTGATACCTGCTAAACCAGTATTTTCCTATATTCTTTCTAAATCTAAATTTCTCCAACTTGAAGCCATTGCTACGAGTCCTGTCTGATCGCGGGTTCAATCCCGTCCGTGGTATGGTTGGTAAGATACTTTTAATACGTTATACATATACCTTTTCCTTATTCCAGTTTTCCATTTGTTCGCTGTCTCTTCTGTAAGATGACTTGCTATGCTTGAAAATACCTCTTGTTAATGGGACGAATTGGAATGATATTAGCCGACAAGATGGATTAAACGACAGTCGAGTGAAGTTGAGGCGTTTAATAACCCCATCGTTTCTCTCCGTGTAGGTAAAAACGCCGCTAATAAAAATATCCGCAACATCTAAGTACCACTTTCTCGACGAGGATCAGTATCTAGCGGTGATTTTTTTCCTCGATGAACATAGTAATACCAGCTTTTACCAAGTTATGCGCCGCTGGCGCTGGTGTCCGCACGGCCAGGGCTTGATACGCCGTCAGCTGTCGGTGGCCCTATATACACCCAGCAAGACGAAGTACACTGTAGAACCTAACCCAGGCTGGTCACAGGACCTGACTCATGCTCACAACAGGGCCTGAATCACGCTCATTACAGGATATAAATCACTGGTGGCCACAGGACCTGAATCCCACTGACCACAGGACCTGAATCCCACTGGCCAAAGGACCTGAATCACGCTGGCCTGCTCAATTCACCCCCCACCCGGATGTTAAAACTTTCACCAGGGGTCTTCCTACTCCAGTGACGCCATAGGTACTCCCGACACTTGGCTTTCTTACCTGCGCCTCAGATAACGGCAGCAGTG